AAGTCACCCATGTTGTACATACAATTTGTTCATCGCGTACGTTAATGATCCTAACAGCATTGTCCTCGTAGGTGTGTACCTGTACATGTACGTGTACATGTAGCTGTTCACACGGACGGACAATGTAATCGGTCCAACGGTTCCATATGTTTCGGTTTTTGTGAGACGTTGGCTTTGCGTGAAGAGCAATGAATGTTGAGTGCGCTCGTGAATGCTCCTCATTCATGTCTAATTACATGAATTACCGGTGGGGCAGTTTGACGACAAACGCATTGATTGCATGATACCGATATGATACCAGTACCGGTGTGTATGCAGGATACGAACTCATGCATATAATGTGGGTGTGTTCCTTAAGCCAAGAAAAAAAATAAACAAGTTTTTCATCCCTGCTTCCTTTTTCAGAAAATCGAAGAGAGTGGCCCTCCCCCTTCATTTTTTTTCAAAATCCTGGACAAGAAACTATTACCAGGGCCTAATTATACGGTGCTGCTAAGCACACAAATTTTCTTAGCACAAAAAAAGTTTGGCTTATAAAAGCAGGTTACCAGCCAAAACTCCATGTGATTTTCATGCTAAGCAAACATCAGCTGAATACTAATCATGAGCAATATACATCACGTGGTGTTTTGGCTGGTAACCTGCTTTTATAAGCTTTTATTTCTTTTGTGCTAAGCAAATTTTTGTGCTTAGCAGCGCTGTGAAATTGGCCGCAGCTGGCCTTACATGTACATGTTGGAAATATTTCTCAGTCCCAGATTCATGTCTCATCATCATTTTTGCAAGTGGCGTCAGGTTGCAACATTTTTCCCTGCTCCTTCCGTCGACATACATGTATGGATAGTTCAGACGACGATTTCTTTCTGACTCGAAGTAGGTTTTGCAGTGATGGCGGAGAATCTGACAGTGAAGATGCATGGGTAATTTTCGGAAAGCAAATTTTCACGCAGACAGTCCTATTCATGCTCATTATGGAGAACAATTGTCCGACATGTTCAAAGTGTGGATTCGTAATTCCGAATCCACACTTTACTAAAGATTCTTCGTTCCGAATCCACACTTTGTGACCAGTGTAACAGATTCGTAGTTTTGAATCCACACTTTTAACAATAGTGTGACGTCATACCGGTAGCAATGGTTTAATGCGTATAGATTCAACACTGTATATCCCAATATTCTTCAAGGCAAGCAAATACATGTACACCATGTACATGTATGCATACATAAATGAGTCACATTCCCATATTATATTGGCAATTGGCATAGTTTGGATTCAGGGAAATAAAACATGATTGATTTGGTCCAGCCCGTCCGGTAAATCATTGCTAGAAGCGTGCTGGGCTTTAGAAGCTGTTGAATGAAATTACATTCAGTTTTTCCCCCACTGCCAACAGGTATGGCATGCGCTTGGAAAATTCGGAGGGGGAAATGCTTTTTAAAACATAATATATGATATAGGAAAAAAAAAAAAATTCTTCTGACAAAATTCAAATTAAAAATACTGCTATGTACATACACATGGACATGTACAATGTACGTGGATAAAAAAACACTATAAATACTGTATTAAAAAAACACCAAAAATTATTTTCATTTTTGACAAATTACAAATGTATGAAAAATACTGCTGAACAAGTTTGTGTGTTGCAAAAATATCCGCTAAGACAGAGTCGCACGGTAATACATGCATGTGTAATATTTTTTTTTGCAGAGCAGAAATATTCCCTGTTTAGCAAATGTTCTGTGCTTAACCGGACTCGCTAAGCTCACCGGACTCGCTAAGCTCACCGGACTCGCTAAGCTCACATGGTCCAGTTTGTCCTCGGGCGCCATCATCAACTGAGCACTGTAAACCGGTATTAAGACGACTAGCTACAAGTGTTCCCAGGGCCACAGATGTGATGCCTATTGTGCAGGATCCTTCAACATAAATTATCTGATTTTTTTGTTGTTCATCAAGTGTCCAAGGAGGATACAAGAGTGGTCACACTTGATGCTATATCTAGGCTGTAGGCTTCGATGCTTTCAAGGGCTACTGGCCTTGTGTTTAAGATTGGCTCATTTCAGGCCGGCTGGCTGCCCTCCCCCCCCCCCCCCACACCTCTTAAACTTGTGCATTTTAGAGTAGGAAATTATTGTGGGTGTTCGGATCAGGTGTGGGCAATCTGGCCAGTGGACTTGGAGGATCTTTTGGACAAGTACTGTATTATGTATCAGCCTTTAAAATTATGACATGGTGTTTTAATTGGGGGGGGGGGGGGGGGGCTTGAATGTTGTTGGATGAAGGGGGGGGGGGATTGGCATGGGGGGTGGATATGCATCAAGCAACATTGTTGCATCGTATATTAAAAAAACTATGAGGAAATATAATTAACCAGATCTGTAATCTGGAGGTCGCAGGTTCAAACCCCGCTTCAGTCAATTTCTTCATTCAACTTATAAAAAAAAAGATTCAAATGTAGCCTTCTCCAGGAGTGATTTGTTTTATTTTTACATTCTTTTGTGATTCAAAACTTGTATTCTGAACATAATAAAGATTTCCAATTTGAATAAACCATAAAATTTGAAGTAAACAAAAACAAAAACAAAAAAACATCTTCATTTTTTCCCCTACAACCAGCTGCCCGTCAGCCATCGTTCTTTTTTGCTAATTATTAAAGGGAATATACATCATTTGCTTTTGCTGTAATTTTCAGAAATGGATGGAATTGGGGGGTTGGAAACATATAGCAAATATAGTTACACTGACTTTTTTGAGGTTTTGGGTTCGAAAATCCTATAAAACCAAGAAAAACGATCATTTTCCTGTAGTCTGGTTCCCTGACTCCATATAAGAAGAAACAGAGCAGTTTACATACATTGGGGAATTGTAAGGTCAGGGAACCAGTCTAGCTGGCTCGTACCCGTTCATAGGTTTGTAATCGATTGCAAACAAGTGCGATGGTCAATTGGGGCCAGTATTTGAAAAAAAGCCAGTTGTTTCCAACGCTGACCGGCCGATCAGCGTTGGAAATTGATACAAAAATACCACTTTTCTTGAAAATGACAGTATACCAGGTGCCATGATTTTACAGGATGCTTTACACTGTCATTCACTAACAGTCCAGCAAGGTATTTCAAAATAATTTGGTAGTTTTATTTTTTGATGTTTGCAAATGTTGTATTTTCCCTTTAAGTTCCTAAACCAAGATTTAACTTTGAAATTTACTCAAAGTTTATCTTTGTTTGAACAAAATAGGATGTACCAGGTAGATACATTGTACACATTCACAGTGCATTGTACACATTCACATTAAGCTTGCATGAGACGACAATTCTCGCTTCAGCATTCCGTGAAAGATGCGGTGAATAATGTCAAGAGATGGTTGCCATGGTATCCGCTAGGTTTACCGTAATCAGCAGACAGTCGACCTCTCTGATCTGACACTGTTACCTTGCAGTCCTTGAGATTTTCATGGAATTATGACTCAGACAGGTTTAGCGCAGACAATTTCTTTTTTTTGGAGATATACTATCTAATTTATTCCTCAGGATCGGATGAAAAATGCACTTACATGTTTTATCTGTATACACTCTGTAAGGCCAAAAAAAAAAGTCTCCGGTTTCTGGTATGTGCGCGCGTCGCCGTAGCCATGCGCGTCGGCAAAATGAAAAAGTTTTGGATGCCGTTATGGATGCCGTGATGGATGCCGTTATTTACAGTTGCTGAAAATGTTATGTCACAGTTGTTGAAAATTATTCCAGAGTCCAAATTAACCCTAATGTACCTGAATCCATCAAAATCCACACCCCCATTTCGGGGGATTTCTTCGGATTCAGGATACCTCCATATTGAAAAAGTTGGGAGATTTTGATGGATCTAGGACATGAAGCCTAGCGGTACTGCAGGATTTTGATGGATTCAGGATACCTCCATATTGAGCAGTTGTGGGACTTTTGATGGATTCGGAATCTCAACAGATTAACTCCCTGCTAACTGGTGAATTCTGATGGACTTGCTGGCCACCAAAAAATGTTTGCATGACAAAATTGATGGATTTTGGCAGATTCAGGATACTTTCTAGTAAATATACCCACAGGGTTAGAGTTAATGGAACAAATAGTGCATAAACCTCACCGATCTGAAACCAAATTCATAATTTTATGGTCAATATGAGTCCCTGTGAATACATGGTTGCACGTTACTGCATTGCTTCAGTTTACTATTTTATGTCAAATTGCAAAATCAATATACATAAAGTGAAAAGTCACTTTCAACTTCACATCCACAACACACATTCTTTCCCACACCACCAAAACAACAACAGAACAGAAACCTGTCCTGGTTTTGTAAACAACCCACAAGAACTGGCACGTTCAGGCTTTCCTGGGGTCACCCAGATGCCACAGCCTGCTGGGGCACCCCTCTTTTGTGTTTTGTGGTCTGGTTCCTGACAATTTTTTTTTATGCCAGGAAGCAGTGTGGTTTGCCGCATGTATGCTTGGAATGTCAATGTCACTTAGCTGGTTTTTGTCACCAGGGCACCAGACAATAGATCATGTTTTTAAGGTCAACTGTTTGGTAAATGCATGGGATTTATAGGTCCTATTAAAGGCACTGCTGGGCTTAGATACCCAAGGTTCCCCCTCCCTCCCCCCATTCCCCTTCACCCCCCCCCCCCCAAACAAAAAAAAAACAATACAAGCCTACTAGAGATGGTCCCACAGAGTGCATAAAATTGTATTCAATTGATTCGGATTGGCTATTCACTGGAAGTCTTTTCATGCATCTGGTCTGTACAATGGGCCGGGTTTAGCCCATTCATTGATATTACAGGGTTATCCTATATGATAGCACTGCCCGGCTCACATATAACAGTCAGTCATTCCATGAGATACTGTACTATGTAGGTACAAAGAGTCACTTGTGTGGTACATTTATGTAAGACTGCTGTTCTTAAGATGTCTATTTCAGCGATTTACTCACTTTTTAACAACTCTCCAAAAAACCCTTTTTCCAGAAGACCCCCATTCGAAGAAACTCCGCGACCTCCTCTCCAACATCCAACCGCCCGATGTCTACAACCGGCTGGCCCGCTCGGTCAGTGTCAGGTGGTCCCTGCCCCAGGTGCATTCTGGGAACGGCGACTGCTGTCCGGACGACGACATCGATCTCTCCTCTGCCCGGTTTGAGCTGGTCCTGTCCGAGCGAAACCGGAGCGGGTCGTCGAAAACATTTTACTGGTAAGTTGACTGAAAATTGCTGCTTTTTAAATTGAGTTGACGCCCTCTATGGATTTGTCAAACTTTGTGCTTTTTTTTTTAAGAAGAGGCTGTCCATAATTAAAAAATAGTTGTGCATGTTTATAGGGCCAAGATTAGCATTTGTGATGTGATCAAGCTACATGAGTTGTTTGTCGGGAGTTTTCATTTGGAGATCAGGCCAAAATAGGGCCGCTTCATCCCATCACTTCATCACATCTCTTGGTGTTCCGACGTCCATAATTTGTGAACTGAAGATGGTATCAGCATGCGGTTTTCACAGCAGTAATGCTGAGATGGTGCTATTTTCAAATCTGTAATGAAATTTTTTTTGACCGGGGTTGACAAACAACTCATTTAGCCAGGCATGCAACTTTTCCTCGGATCAGCTGATTTCCTCTTTTTTCACTTCCAATGTGTGCCATTGAAAATAGAAAAACACTGTACAAGGTCTTGGAAAGATTTGAAGTTCCTCTTTTTTTGTGACTTCCCATTTGCATGCCTGTTTAACTTGATCGCATCACATTTGGATTTGTCTTAGTCTTGTTTCAAGTTGCCACTGTGGACCAGTCGTTCTGTGCTTTCAGCTTGTTGTCCTTAAGCAAGGGACTTCACAGTAGTGTTTTTTTTTTTCGACAAGGATAAAAAAAGTTCGCTCATTGCATATGCTTGATTTGGAAAGAATCCTTGTGTTTTAAGGGATACCACAGGAATGGTCAACCCGAATGGAAGACTTAGCGACAGCTGGAATCAAGTCTAAATATGTACCGTCAACTACCCACTTAATTTCCTAGCTTCCCTGCAGTAGCATTATGTACCTTGTGTGCCGTATCAACGAATGGCCCTTGCGCCTAAAAAGGACCGCTTCCGGTCTTCGGGCCGTATCGCGGCGCGATTGTGTTTGAAGTTTAAACTAATGGTGTTTGCACATGATATGTGCCGGGCTGTGTTAATTTGTTGGCTTTTATTACTCCAAAGGGGGTGGGGATTGGGGAGAAGAGTTGAGGGGGTTTGAGGAGGGTTTACATGTACATGTATAACGAATCCTTGTTTGCACATTTCTTCAATTGTCGCACGGTGAACATGTACATGTAAATTTGTTGGCTTTACCGTAGGGTGATTGGGGGAGGGGGGAGGGGGGGGGGGCAGGGGGTTGTGACGGACCCTATGAAGCAGTGAGGAACTTGGTTTTAAAGGGAATGTACAACATTTGCTTTTGCTGCAATTCAGAAGTAAATGGATTTGGAGGATTAGTATGTTATAGCCAATATTGTTACACTGACTTGCTTCATGTTTTGGGTTCGGAGATGCTGGAAAATCCAAGAAAACCAACCATGTTTTTGGAAGTCTGGTTCCCTGACCCCATTTAAGATGAAACGGAGCAATTTATAGACTTTGGAGGAGTGCAAGGTCAGAGAATCAGTCTAGTAGGCTTGCACCCCTTCACAGGTGTGTAATCAATATGAAAAATTGGGAGCATTTTTTGAAAAAAGTCAGTTTTCTCCAACGCTGGTCGGCCGACCAGCGTTGGAAAAGTTTTCTTGAAAATGTCAGAACACCAGGAGCCACGATTTTACAGAATGCACAATCCAGTAAAATATTTCATGATAATTTGATCATTTCGTTTTTTGATGTTTGCAAATGTTGTATCTTCCCTTAAATATTATTTTGTCTTAATTGGTGATTTACATACATCTGACTGTAACAGGTTTTCGTCGGTTTCTAAAAGGGAAAAGCGCAAAACCTCTCTCATATGCCACAAAAAAGACTCTCAGTAAAAACAGGACAAGCCACATCTGTCAGCTTCCTGTGCCAACTACATTGTACGTGTTGCGCCAACTACGTGTTCTGTAGCTTTTAGCCAGGGACTGAAGCCCCTTCTTCCCCCGCCAATCCATCATAACACAGCACGCTGCTGTATAGGGTTGTTGAGCAGGGCACGAAGGATGGAAATAGACAGTGACTAACGGTCACATGGTCGTGAGGAGGGAAAACATCCACACGAACTCTGACCTCAGAATTCCTGTAGCTTAAAGGGGCTTCCACAGGCAGTGGGTGAAATTTGAGACAAAAATGCTTAAATCACCCATTTTGAGCTGTCATTTATGTACATGTACCGGTACATGTACTTAAAATTTGCAGGAATAGGAAAATATATCCCTGCCAATATTTGTGAAAGTTACAAAGTGTTTTTGGACATGTAACTGGTTGATTTTGATGATTTGCAATTGTTTTTTGCCAAACGGCCAAGAAAGTTAAAGGTATAAAAACGGCTTTAAAGGCTGGTTCATTCTTTACGTGAATGCGAAACAAATTTGACATTATGAAACGTTCGAAATTTGCCGGGAGTTGAAATGCGTTCAACTTTTGCAAATTCGCAGCGAGAAAACTTGCCATGTCGTTACCAGTTGGGGTTCGCGTTTGCTTTCGCATTTGCATAAATTTAGGCCTAGATTATATTTGAAATCCTTCGCACTGCTCCAGGTTGTCACTGGCTCTGCCTCAACATATTGACAATGATTCCTGGAGGATTTTGCAGGATTGAGGCAGTGGTCACCCCTCCAAGGACCACCTTCAAGAAATAACAGAGGATTTTTGAGGATTGTATGCAATCTTTACATGAAGGCAGTTGGAGGATTTTGCAAGATTGCGGTTGCATCCTAGCAAAAATGCCGAGGGAGTTACCCGGTAGGGTTAAAGGAGCATACTACAATAACATTGCAATCTTTTCAAGGATTTGGGAGTGGAGAAAACTGCACCTTTAAAAAAAAGGAATGTATTCAATGTAATTCAATTTGTACTGTGATATCAGGGTGGTATCCTATACATGCCACTGCGAAGGTGATTTGTATTAACATGGAGTCAGGCTTCTGGGAAAGCCAAGAAAATCTTCGAAGTCCTTGAATTTTAAATTCCGGCCTTGGCTTGGATTCACAATGTACCAGTACTAGTATAACATTCGGCAGGAAATTTTAATTCATCAAGAATTTAGGATGTGCGCAAGTGGATAAACACGAATGATTTATAACTTGAACATGTACAAATTTAAGAGGCACTCAACTGAATTCTATATCTGCAATTTTTCCTGCGTTTATGCAAAAGAAGTAAAAAAAAAAAAAAAAAAAAAATTACAAAAGTTCAATAAGTGCAACTTAATTAGTTTCTGACAGACTTCAAAACCAACTGATTGAAGTTAGAGAACCCATTTCCACAGACTTTTTACTTTTTTGTTGCAAACATCCTCTTTGATTCAATGATTGCCTTACATTTACCCTGAGAGACGATTTTGAAAATTAAACCTAACTCCCTAGGCATATTTGCTAGGATGCAACCTCAATCCTGTAAACTCAATCCTGCAAAATCCTCCAACTGCCTCCATGTAAAGATGGCATACAGCCTCAATCCTGCAAAATCATCTGTGATTTCTTGAATGTGGTCCTTGGAGGGGTGGCCACTGCCTCAATCCTGCAAAATCCTCCAGCAATCACTGTCAGTATGTTGAGGCAGAGCCAGTGACATCCTGGAGCAGTGCGGAGGATTTCAAGTATAATCTAGGCCCAAATTTATGCACGGCTGAGCATCAACAACACAAGGTCCGGCCCAAGACCTTGACACAGTGCATCCTCCAAAATCAGCCACACATTTTTGCCATATAACGTAGCCTCAATCTGGAAATCTTCATTTCACAAACAGGATTTTGGAGGATTTGGGAAGGTTAGAGTTAACATGAGCAGTCATTCTCTGGAACATGTTTTCAAAATGGACGCAGCGCCGCACTGTTATTTGTATGATTTTTTTGTCAACTAAAAAGAAATACTTGCTCAGCACAATTACCAGTCGAAATGCTTGTACTTGTACTGCCTGAGACTGTTCTCTGCCAGTTTTTTTTTTTCGTCAAACCAAATTTGCTTAGAAATATTTGTCGTCGTGCTTTGTCATCCTGGGCCATGAGACAGTTTGTTTAATAGCTGTGAATAATGAGAACGAAGTCCGTTACATGTATTCAAATTGGGTGGCCAGTGCCTGCGTCGGCGAATCCTGCTTAGCGCACGATTGTCGGTGCTTTCAACACCTGCGCTTACCTTAGTAGCTGCCGGTACGCTGTGCATTCTGGACCCCAGATGTGTCAAGCATCAGCTTGTCCAGACGCTTAATGACCGCCAATGAATCTTGTGTAATTGGCTAATTGGGTTTCAAGGCGAGTCGCCCACTCGAATACATCAGAGAGAGAGATGCGCCTCTCTTTTGCGTAATTTTTGGCCGTCAAATTGTCGTGAAGAATGCAATCGGTGATTGTGCTGGATGCGTTCAGGCCTGAGTTTTGTTAATACCACCACCTTCACTCACAGCTTTAATTGCCCGATTTGCATAATATTTTCTTCCGAGCATTTCTCCGTGAGATGTAGGGCCAGCAATGTTCTGCGGTACTGGAAGACAATGGAATTTAATGGAGTTCATCTTCTGAAACAGAATTCAGCGTTTTGGAAAACCTACAATGTGGGAACAAAAAGAGATGCAAAAAAATTGGAAATTAAAATATGTTTTGGAAACGTTTTTCAGTGTCAAGCAATATGTTATGATTTTGGGTTGTATTTTTTGTTTGAATTCTGTAAAAAGAAAATCGTTTTACCAACATTTTTGTTCCATCGTTTTTAAGTGATCGTCCACAACATGACACACTTGATGAAGCTGGAGACTTGGTTTTTCTGCACAACAGGTCTCTGCCTATAAAATGAAATTTCTGCTCAGAAAAATTGTGTTTGTTGTAGACAAATTGTATAGATGCAGCAAAAAAAAAAAAAAACACCACACAAATTACATTTCAGTGGAAAAAAAAACACTTTCACACTTTCTTGAAAAATGCAAAATGTTGTTACATGTACATAGGTCGCGTTTACAAAAATATGTACCCCAAATACATTTTCTGGGACATTGGCAAAACGGGGAACTGCCAACATAGGGCTGGATAGCTCAGTTGGTAG